AGCTGACGGCCTGCCAGCCGAGCTATTCAAGTACGGCGGCGAGGAGCTGATGAGGTGCATGCATCAGCTCGTATGCAGAATATGGTCAGATGAACGCATGCCCGACGACTGGAATTTAAGGGTGCTCTGCCCAATCCACAAGAAAGGCGACGCTGCCATTCCCGCCAACTACCGCGAAATCAGCCCTCTAATCGTTCGTTGACGGTGGGCTTCAGTCTCTCGATAAGACTTTATATCGAGAGACTGAAGCCCACCGTCAACGAACTGATTGAACCTTATCAGTGTGGCTTTAGGCCGGGCGAATCGACCATAGGTCAGGTATTCACAATACTATCAATAGAATACCCAATCTTGGAAAAGACCCGCGAGAATAGGGTAGACACACACCATCTATTTGTCGATTTCAAAGCCGCATTCGACAGCACGAAGAGAAGTTGCCTTTATGCCGCGATGTCTGAATTTGGTATCCCCGCGAAACTAATACGACTGTGTAAAATGACGTTGAGCAATACCTCCAGCTCCGTCAGAATAGTGTAGGCCCATATCTCAATTTCGGAGGCTAACTTCGAAAAACGGAGAATCTACTTTTTTACCTATGACTCAATCTCTTTAAAAAAAAAAAAGAATTGGTTTGGTCCAATACCCAGAAAAAAAAGTTGATTTTGCCGAACAGTGTTATTTTAAGACTTATATACTTATCATTGAGATACATATTTTTTAGTCTTCAAAGACTTTTATTTTGAGACTTATATTATACACGTCTTTTAATAATAATTATGAGTGCGAAAAAATTTTGTGTATAGTCCCGAACGGGTCACAAACCAAGCCCCAACTGGGCCCAAACTACCCCCGAACTAGCCCCGCACTGGCCCCCACCTAGCCACGAACTGGTGCCCAACTAATCCTGAAATGCTGCCCGTCTATTAAGAGTTAAAAACTGTTTTCGCCCTCATAATTATTATGAAAAGACTTTTGTAATATAAATTTTCAAATAAAAGACTTTGAAAACTCAAAAATATTTATCTCCATGATAATTATTATGAAAAAGCTTTTATAATATAATGGCCTTATTCATAAAAAATAAAGTAGCTTTATAAAAGGTTTATAAATTGAAAAATGTATGAAAACGTCAATTTATAAAGCTCTTTAAACCTACTTTATTTTTTATGAATAAGGCCATAAGTCTTAAGATAAAAGTCTTAGACGACTTCAAAATATTTATTATGAAAGGACTTTTATAATATAATCCTTCAATAACAATTATAGAAGACTCGAAAAATATTTATCTTAATATAATAACTATTGATTGACTTTTATTATTTTCTCTTATAATAGTTATGTCTCTGTTTATAAGATTTATACAATTATAAGTTTATACGGTTTACAATGAACAAACGACGAACATACGACTTATCACAATTAACAAACGAAAATAATGAAATTCTTACATCTGCAGTAGAATTCAGGGCATGAATCACGTAACTTTGAAACGATAGTCGTTCAAACGATACTAACTAAACGATGTCGTCAAAACACTGATTCATGTATTTGTTTTGCTGTTGTGTTAGTGTTACGGTTTTTACATTTGTTCGATGTTTTGTTCGGTGCCCTTCCTCCTTCCTCGTCACTCTTTTTCCCGCAAGCAAGTAACAAGCTGCCGCGACAAAAGTTTCTCTGTCTGAACCTAGACTTACACATAGAGGTGGGTAACTCAGCACTGTGCTGAGTTACTGTGCTGACTCTTAGAACTGTGCCGCACGCTCAGACTCACCTCTGAAAAAATTTGTAACTCAGTAACTCAGTTTATGTGCTGACAATGTATAGCTCAGTGTGCTACAGAGTCGATATGGTAACTCAGTTGATGTGCTGACACTTGCATAGCTCGGTGCGGCTTGCATTGCTGTGTCGATGTGGTAACTCAATTGATGAGCTCACACATTCACACAAAACGATCTTCCAAAGAGTACCATAATAGATGGCATCACTACACTAACCATCAATTGAATATACGACTACCAAATTTAAAAAGAAGCAAGGCGAATAGCCAAGTTATGCATACTTGCACTGCTATACCATTTTTACGTAAAAATCAAAACCAAACAGAATTCTACATGTGAAGTGCTATGCGTTGGGTAACCGCTTACATGCATAGCCCATTTAACAGATTCTTATGTGCCAACTCTCAAGCAACACTAAGTAGGGAATTATTTTGCAAATGAACTCACCAGTTGAAATCAGCTTTGTAAAATTTTTCCGGCCAGCTACGAACAGAAGCTAAGGATAACCTTTTCTAAATCGATTTCGATTACTAACATCATCAATAATTTCGATGTACATACCAATTGTGCGATAGCACACTTGTGCCAGCTCACTGTGCTGACTCATTAAAGTGAGTTGGAGTTACTGAGTCAGCACACGAAAATTTACAGAGTTACCCACCCTTACTTACACAAAGAAAATACATGGGAAAAGATTACCGAACACCGAGCTAGGGTTGAAGCGATAACATGCAGGTATCGATACTTTTACTTGGAAATAGTATCGAAGAAATATATCGAACCTGAAGAATAGCGGATCTAAGGTATCTATACCTACTTACATCGATACTTTTGGCTATGAAGTTATTCCTTATGAACTAAATAAGTTATTTATTTTTATTTTATGTCATAAGCTAACCATTTTCTGGGAATCCGAAACTCCAAACTATATTTTAATTTTAACTGGATTTGTTAAACTTTTTGAAAGATTTTGTTAAATGTTATTTCGGGCACGGCAACACTGGTTGGTATGTCTGCACTGAACATTCATCCAGTCACTCTTCCATTCGAACAGTTCGACCGTGTATACGTCGCTTTACATCGACTTTGGTGAAGAAATTGCAGCATGTATTCTTTGCACTATATCGACTGTGTCGCATTTGTTGGTTGGCAATTTAACAGCCATAAAGAACAAGAGGCGCTTAGTATTCGGAATAACAATGGATGAAGAATTGTCGAAGCCATATCTGCCTTAGTATCGGGTTTCGATACGAGTATTTGTTTTTCGGTACCTACTCAGTACTTGGTTCAAATGTACCGATGCCAAAATTGCTTGGTATCGATCGAAAAGTATCGAGTATGTTCTTGTATTTACTCGTATCGTTTCATTCCTACACCGAGTACCAAGTAGTGATGTGCTAAGTCAATACTTTTAAGTACTGATCGATATTCGGTACCGATTTCAAAAGTATCCTATACTCTCGATACTTGGTAGCGAAACATTTTGGTTTCGAATAAGAGCGCGCATAAGCCAAAGATATGGAAAAAACGGTTCAGAGGAGACTCGCATATTAAAACCCGAAAGTAGGAGCCTATAGAGCTTTTAATACTGATTCAAATGAAAGATGTAAATATGTATGTCGGTTCGAGGCCATAATACAGAGAAACTCTTGCTTCTTTGAAGCATTTTTGTTCCAGCTGAATCGGACGATTGTATTTTTGTAGGCCTGCGGGCAGACAATTTTTGAATCAGTATCGGCTTTGTTGACGTATCATATGAAATATTTTACGTCAATAAGTGCGACATCGATCCGAAACTTGTCGCTAACCTAACTGCTTACGGAACAACCTAACTAATTCAGTAATGAAAGTTTTTTATAAACTTGAAATGCATATAATGGCCAAGGGCATAAATGCAGAATACCTACAATTCTCAAATCTAAAAAAATCATATTGGGATCGATAGGGATCGTTGAGATAAGCGTAGCGGTATATTTTTTTTTTGGGGAAACGGCAACAACAACAACAATTATTGTAGGTCAAAGTTTAAATTAAGCACTTGTTAAATCAATATTTGTTGGAAACCTCTTCATGGCTTTGCAGGATTTTGATGCCATTCGATAGAGAATTTAATTCTCTTTAATTTGATGTACATATTTGTACATATGCCTCTTACAATCCATAAGTGCGGCCTACGCAGAAAGGTGTTCAGCGCCTATTCTACGCAACACAGAAAGATAATTCTACTTCGTGAGGGTAATAATCCCTAAGTGCGGTCGAAGGCTTCCTATGCAGGAAAGCGTTTTCAAGAAATATTGTTTTAAAAATACGCCTAATTGGAACTTTGACCTTTAATAATTGTTGTAGTTGTTGTTTCCCAAAAAAAAATTTCCCGCAACGATCACGTCAATGATCTCTATCGATCCCTATATGATTTTTTTTTTTTTGAGAATTGTAGGTATTCTGCATTTGTTCCATGGCGAAGGGTTTAATGTAACCCTGCAAAAATCGCGACTACTCCATGCATGCATGTGAAGAGTACTCCCTAAGGACCAAGGAGTACTCCAAAATTAACCACAATTAATATAAAAAATGTGGTCCAATTAACATTGCGATGTCCTAGGGCAGGACCATATACTCCATCCCTGCATTACATCAGAGTAGCACAAAACTACTCCAACATATTAACAATGCATTGTTGTTATATTTTTTCGTTTGTACACGCTTTTGTTCTTCACTTCCCAAATGCTTTTTCGAAATAAATAAAAACCAAGACAAAAATTAAAAATTACATGTTGCCTCTGACGGCATTCGAACCCGAACATACTGGGAGCTAAGAACTAACAGCGAGCATCTCTACACGTTCAGCTACAGCCAGACATGCAAATGTGCTTTCAAATGCTTAACTTCAATCACATTTCGTTAAAACACGAGCAGTGTTCGGGTAACAAACAATAAGCTGGTGCAGAGAAACGAGTTGGTCCGCTACAGCATGNCAAGTGAACTGTCTGGTTCGGATTCGAGTTGTTTTGGTGGGCATTTAATTGTCGCTAGCCGTTTCGACATTGTCATTTACATAACGTGTTGCGGGAAAAGGTAGCTATCGCCATCCTAATCTTTTAAAGTGTAGCATAGGTATTTAATATACCTATTATATGGCAGTGTAATAGAAAAAGAAAGTCAAATTTGGATAACAATTTTGTAATATAAAATTAATATTTACATTTAATTTCCCAGTCCGTAGACGTCGAGCTAGATCAGCCAGTGAAGTGATTCCATCAAACCAGACTAGAAAGACAACATAAAGATGGCACAACGGGCACCTAATAAAAACCTTGTCGGCAGATTGGTGAACAGCCTTAAGAGCAAGGAGTTTCGTGATTATTTAATGAGGTTTGAACATCTTATATGTTACATTTCATAAATGCTATTTTATTTCTTCTAATAATCTCGCGTAGCACACATTTTTGGGGGCCAGTCGCTAATTGGGGAATTCCGCTTGCAGCAATTGCAGATTTTAAAAAGGACCCGAAATTCATCTCCGGCAGGATGACCCTTGGTAAGTTGGTCAATACGGATAAAAGCGTTCTGTTTTAGTTAGGATAGTTGAATACGTGCACACGCAAATGCATACATTTAAAAGCCTTTCCGAAAGAAGAAGGCCTTTAGGAGGAGTTCTTTTAAAGTTCCTTCTTTAGTTTATAGAAATCATATATCTTTAAAGTATTTGCTTAAGGATTATACCAAAAATATGTGTTATTGCAACTTAAAATGTTTATTCAAACTCATTTGTAATGCATTCCCGTAAAGTGTAAATGGATAAGCCCTTCTAGAAGGCATGCAACGAAGCCCTTTTTCAGCCCTTCTTGGGTAGGATTCTTAAAGCTTAAACAGACGGCAGCGTTGATCCGGATTAACTCGGACTTAATTCGGATCAACTGCAGTTAATTCCCGAGTTGATCCGAATCAATGCTGCCGTCTGTATGCTTTTATAATGGCTTTACTTAAGAAGGCCTACCTAAATTATCTTATGCACTTACTGCTGGTGATGAGCGATATTTCACGCATTTATTGTCTGACTTTGTTCATATGTAGAATATTTTTATTTTATTTTAAGAAAGCTTATATAATAATAACAATGATAATACAACCTATGAAAAAAACAGCGCTAGCAATATGTAGAATGTATATTATATGAAAGAAAAAATTTTGTTCAATGGGTGGTGCAGAAGACGAGATATTTGGCGACCCCTTTTTTTGTGGTCCGATTCGGTTCAAAATTAGAAAGCGAAAAGTAGTATTATAAATTAACAAAAAAAAACTTTAGCAGTGTATATTGCAAAAAAAAACTCACCACATGTTCATTTATGCTACAAAGGATTTGTACTTGTAAGTAGCTGCAGTATTATTTTTAACAAATGTGGTAAACGAGTTTTACGTTTATTTGTTTCAAAAATTCATATTTTTACCATTCTTGAAATAAAAAGTTTGAAAATACCTGTACGATAATTTTGAAAGCATTGAAAGTTAATTTTCTCTACTATTTCTCTGAAATTCCGATTCAAACACTGCAATCGCAATTGCACTTCAAAATCGCGGTGATTATAAAATCACCGAATTCACCGATAACGGAAAATCACCCTACACTCGTCACAAGCATATACATATGTATGTACTTTCATTAATAATTTCAATGCCCACTATTTTAGCTTAATTATGCATGCTAGTACTTGTTCAACCGGTGGGCCTCTGTGCGGGTCTATCTTATAAATCGAATTCCCAATTGTACAATTCGAAAACTTATACATTCATATGTATGTTCATTTGTAAGATAATTAACGTGTGTTAGCTTTATTTGAATGCAGCTCATGATCAGCAAATAGTTGTATTTTAATTGAAACTCACCGATTGTTCAAATGATCAATGCCCACAGAAGCTTGTTAACATTATCTTTTTGTCTATTTTTCTTGCGTGATAGTGATTTATTAATCAACATTATCTTTTATTTTCAGCCCTAACACTCTACTCGTGCGTGTTTATGCGTTTCGCCTGGAAGGTACAACCAAGAAATATGCTGCTTTTTGCTTGCCATTTAACAAACGCCACTGCTCAGACAGTTCAAGGTGTACGTTTTGTAAAATACGAATTTTTAGATAAGAAGCACACAGCGTAAAAAAACATAGAAGAACGTACAGTGCAGATGCTACTACAATGAGCCGCTGTTATATTAAAGTCATAGTTAAATTCAAATTCAAGTGTACAAAAACTAGCACAAAATGAAAATCGAGACTTAGCGGCTCATGCGCTTAATGATGAATCCATTCTTAACTTTAAGCGCCTCACAAACTTACGCGTGCTCTATGCTTAGATGTGTTCGTGTAAATAATTTCCAAAATATTAGATAAGCTCTTTGTTAATAATCGAATATGCCTTTTAGGGTATAATTATCTAAAGGAGTTAATGATATTTACTATCGAAAACAATGTAAATAATAACATATTTAAAACAAAGAAATGACTGTACCAGCCTTGTTAATCTACACTTTCTTTTAGATACATTTTAGTACTTTTAGCTATTTAAAGATCTACAACTCTTGAATGCTGGACAACTGAATGGATGACAAAGTACAATATCAGCAAATAAAAAATTTAACTATCTTGACATGAAATAGCAAAATAGAATAAAGCGACCTTCCTTTCTATTGTATTATTGGTATCAGTCTTCAAAAATGTTTGTGACGTGGGAAAATTTTCAGGAAATAAACTGATAAGATTAAGCGGTACTGATTTAGTTTTGCATAACTGCCAGCAAATATATATTTGAAGTGGCGAACATAACATTTCAAGTTTATCAAGAGCGCATGCATAATTGAGTAGACCACTTGTAAACAGCGTCAACGACATAGGTTGACGCACACACGATCTACATACCTTACAGTGGCGGATACAGGCACGGGGAGGGGGACGGGGGGAGGAGGTTGATGCGATTGGGATCAACTTTAATTTAATTTTCATGCAAATATAGGTTCGAGTATTTTTTATGAAGTGTGAAGTAAAGTGTTTTGTGATATACAATTACTTTTCATTTTGTGAATTCGGTGCAAGGTCTAATAAAACAATTGCATGTACTATTAAAAAAAAACAAGATGTAAAGTTATACCTTGGGGTTATTAATGCAATATATACATATAAATACCTATTTCTTGCTTACAATGCTGGTAAAATGAAGGATGTAATTAAGTAACTTAAAAACTTATTCAGAATTTTTATTGTAATAATTTCAATTGCAAATTCAATTTTGCGCTTTCCTTTTGCGAATCTTTCTATTATCCTTTCAGTGTCAATTTCAATATCTAAGTGTACGTGTAAAAGTGCTGGACCTATCAGTCCTTCTTCATTCATGGTACTATGCAACCATGTTTTTAACCGGCGAAGGGTTGGAAAACTTCTTTCGGAAGTAGCGTTACTAGCTGGGAGTGTGACTAGAGTGCGGAGAAGTTTGTTAATCAATGGAAAAGCATATTCGTCGCATTTACCAAGAATTTCTGTTGCTGATTTTGGGAATGGCTTTTCGTTTTCATTATTTGTCCATCGTTCCAACCACACTTTATATCGATGGCTGAGTGGAAGATCGACCTATCTCTGCAGCCAGTTCGAAAACGCCCTATCTCACAAAATTTTTCAATATCGTTCTATCATAGAAAACTATTCAAGAACGCCCTACTTCAGAATTTGATTGGAAAACACCATACCCCAGAATTTGGTTAAATAACGCCCTATCTCAGCTGCCGATTCAAAAACGCCCTATCTCAGCTTATTTTCAATGTATTTTCGTTTGAGATAGGGCGTTTTTGAACCGAATTCTTAGAAAGGACGTTCTTCAACAAAATTCTGAGATAGTGTTTTTCAATAAAATCCTAAAGTATGGCGTTCTTGAAAAGTTTTCTGAGATAGGGCGTTTTCGAACCAGCTGCCGAGACGGGTCGATCTTCCACTCAGCCATCGATATACTCTCCTTCCAAATTGATACTGTCTTTTTCTAAAAAATTCCTCCAGCGAAAGCGAACGCTCGGATGTATAATCTATGGATATTAAAAAATGTGAAGTAAAGCTCAATTGAAGGCCTATCTTAAAGAAAACCGAGCTTATCTCGGTGGAAATCCTCTCGATTGGTGAAAAATTAAACTAAAATACGACAAATTGACAGATCTGGTTCGCAAATATTTGAGCGCTCCATCCGCCAACGTTCCAAGTGAGCCTCTAAGAAATCGCATCATGGGAGAAAAGGCAGCAAACCAATTTTTTTTTAAAATTTAATATGCCCATTTTGAACTTTGACTACTAAAATAAAACATTGTATAGGTTAAGCACTCGTTCAGTGTTCTAATAATTTACACAATGTTTTAAGTAATAACAACAATGCTTAAGGTGACTATAGCTTCTTTCGCATTCCGAAAATTCGCATTCGCGAATGTGAAAAATATGACATTCGAATCATCCCTAATACATATGTAAGTGTTTTTTTGACTGGGTTGGACCAGTAATACCGTTATGCGATGCCAAGATTCAGCCTCATTGCGAGTGTCAAGTCGAGGGCAAGTCGTTTTTCGAGAGTCGAATCGTATCGAAAATTGCATGGCATTGCGTTTAATTTCTCGACTCGAACTTGGCAGCACTGGATAGTTTTCGAAGATTTTTGTCGAATACTTATTTTAACACGATAGTAGGCAATGCCAATGTTGTCGAGTCGTAGAATTTAGTCAAATTTACGAGTTACGCAATGCGGCTGATTAGCTCTGATCCAACACTTTTCGTGAGAAATCCTGTAAAAATGTCAAAAAGCAAAATTATTCTCTGAAGTGAGAGTAAAAAGCGAGTAACAGCAAAAAGTACGGGAACAAATAAAGCATTTTTCCTGTAAAAGCGTCAACCACTGATTGCTTGACACTTTTCAAGATTCTACCAGAAGAAAAAGTTAATAGTAAAGTAAATCTCTACACAACTCTCCAAAAATCGCTCTCATTTACAGGATTTTGGAGGAATTTGGAGTACGGGAACATTTTTCCTGCAACTTCCTGCAAGTTCGTGTAAAAACCTGTAAGTTCATGGAGTACTGGATCAGAGCTATTTTGTTCGGTTTAAGTGCAGTTAGCTAATTGTGTTAATGGGGTAGTTGTTACTGAATCTCTTCGATTGCTTTTCACGGCCTTTGGTTCAAAGTTACGGAATGATATACAGTTATTGTTTCGGTAATTTAATCCTGTTTAGTTCAGCGTACCTTTTAAATCTTCTACCTTCTCATTTAACAATTTTATATTGATGTACATAACGCACACCATCTTCAAACAGGTACAATTAAAAAATCAGATCCGAAAATATAATTTCTTGTGGAGCGTACAGATTCGACGATATTAATACGAAAACAGGCATAACAGTTGGTTTTTAGTTAGAGAATTTATGTGTCGATTACGGATTGCAGCCGAACTTCAGTTGGGTGGCCAGTGGCTGAAATGGTATTACAGATGGCAACTGACACCTGAAAGCTGGAAACTGACTTGCAATATTGGCAACTGAATTTTTGTGGTTGCCGCAGAAATTTTTATTGGGGTAATTTATTTATTTTTCCAACTGTTTCTTCAGCTTATTTACACTCAAGTTTTAGTTGCCGGTTCTTAAAAATTTGATTACCTAACGGCTCTAGTTGACTAAATTCGACTCGATTTACCCTAGTAAATATGTAAGTATTTATGCTTTTGAAAACTGTAATGACTTACCTTGTTTATAGCGTAAGTTAGCAATTGTAAAAAAATAAAAAACAGTATTGATTTATTTTAACTATATTAAATTTTTTTATTAATATTACAATATTTTTCTTAATTTTCTGATTTATTGTTTTCACTTTCATTACGCATTACATATTTACGCATTTATTTGCTTTCAATAAACTTGCTTCTAATATTTTTTTTTTAACCAATGGGAATCTGTTTGTATAAATATTTGTGAATCACAAAAAAAAATAACGGGAAAACATATTTTCAAGCTAACATGAATGAACCAAATTTTTCACCGAAAGAATTATAAATTTTAATTCGTATTTTGTTGTCAACAAATATCATTTCTAATTGTTTGTTCTGTTCGCCGCAAATTTGCAAACAAGCCGTCCAGTTATTTTTTTTTTTTTAATTAAGTAAATTAAGCAAGCTAGGTCATTGCGTTTATTGTAATTATAAGTCGTCGTTTTTTCGTTAATATTGTTTATAATGCTATTAAAATCGATTATATTAAAAAGAAATCATAGGATAAATTGGAACATTAAAACAATTGTGTTGTATTTGAATAATAATTTTTAATATAATTGTTGTCCATTATATGGATTTGCGTTAATCCCTGCTACGATCAAATATATATTTTTTATAATGGTTACTGGAAAGGTTAACGGTATTACTATGTATGTATTATATTTCATCAATTCTGCATTTGCTTATTTTAGATTATTGGGACCCAATGTTGTTGCTTGATTTATCTACATATATAATAATTTCATTCTTTCGATATGAGAACTGTAAATTGTATTGTGTTTTAATTTCTTAGTTTTAGATTCCAATAGCATATTTTCGCAAAACATTTAATTTTCAATGCATTCTTGTCAGAAAGGTGCTGGTTTTGGCTACAATAAGATAATAATTGCGCACAATTATTACATACGTACATACGTATAACTTAAAGACAAATATTTCCATATATTTTATTATTATATAGTCGATTTGTTTTTATTATTATTCACGAAAATGAAAATATATGTTAGTCGTTAGTGACAAATGCAATTATTAAAATTTATTATAAAAAAACAAGCTAAAATAATATCACGTAAAGTGGTTTTTCTTGCTTTCATAATTTCATTCATAACTTTTTTTAAATCCATCCATTTCATGTGGAAGAAATATGCTGCAAATCTTAAATTTCAGAAGTATACATATTTCTTTTGAAATTATGCTGCAAAATATAATTGTGAATATAAAAATATAATAAAATATCAATTACTTGAATCAAAATAGAAAATTTCAATTATTATTATTATTTTTTTTTTTGTTTTTAGTCCGAGTGTTTGGTTTTCAACATATCTATATAGTAAATAAAACTGTAAGGTTGCAATTTTACTTTCAAAGTTTTATTTTTATTGTATTTAGTTCCTCCTATTTGCAATATTTCTTTCTGTAACTCCACTATGCTCCCCTAAAACTGTTATTAAAATTTTCCTTAGATTTTTTAACAGCTAAGAATATTTGTAGCAATTTTAGAAAAAGTCATACGTGTTTAATGTAAAAAACTGTTTTTTTTATTTAGTTTCTTATTTGTTTATTTATTTATTTATATAATTGTTATATAATTTGTATATTCGGTTACGGCGAGTGAGTTTGTGAGCGACGCTACGTTCAGCGGTTTAACGTTGATGTTAGTTGTGAACTGTCCTACCTACCAACACTTAGAAATCCAACGATTTATGCAATGGAAGCAGACGCCATCATTTTGTGTTGGCTTTGTCATTAGCGGATGTCGTACGAACCTGGGAAACGAATCGTTGCTTCCGCTGTATTTGCGTAGATTTTGTGTATTTTATGTATTTGTTTATTTAAAGTAATTGCGCTGTATTATATTTCGGTCTTCAGTGCGTACAAGCCCGAGTTAAAATACGATATCTACTTTCAGTGCTTAATTGTGTTA